GAATGTCAAGTGAGCGGTAGGGAAACAGTTATCAAATGGGAAGTGAACCGATACTGTTCATATTGGTCCTCTAACAAGTCGTAGGTAAGCGGTAGTGGGCATGTGATGCGCGCATTAGCGTGCGTAGCCCAACTGGTATATAATATAAGATATTAAATAGGCGTATATCAAAGGGTTTTCTCGGGAAAAATCTGCTTTAGAAAAAAGCTACCGGTAGCTTCTGTGAATGTGAATTATGCTCATTGATTTACTGAAGAAAGAAGTCGTAAAGGAACGGCGACTACCTTCACTTACCCCGAGTTTTAGGAATATTAATTGCACTTTTGTGTAATTTTACGGTAGAAATCATAAAACCTGTCCATCATAAGGTCTGCATATCACATTAGTCATCTCAATTTCATTTGTAATTGATGACGACTTGAACGAACGAAGAACGGTCGAAAGTACTAACTTTACTATGGGACCATGCTGTTAGCACAGCCCTTGGTCTGGTTTATGTGACTTCCCATCATTCATCTGAGGACATCCATCTCAGTATTCGTTTCTGTTTATTCCGTTTTATATCGCAAAACCCATTTTTGCGTGAATCACCTCATTCGCTTGAAATAAGGTCATCTTGTGGCATTACCGTATCCCACTGTTGGATGACCGTATCCAGCACTGGGATACGGTAATGGTTAGTTGCTCAAGTTGGGTTTCGTATCCTAATAGCGCCAACCAAATTGGATCTTCAAAAAGCATGTCAGGAGACGGGGCCAAAAATGTAGTTTCCTCAATTTTTTCTGATTTTTTTCTCGGAGAGTAGTGGGAGGGAGTGGGGAAGACGGATAAATAACCGCTAAGATGGCTGGTTGCTGGCGATCATCCCCTCGGAAGCTCCTACTGTTTTGCTCGATACCACATGATCCCAGAATACTTTGACGAACTCTATAGGCTTTGTGGGCCTCCTTACTCCCCAAACTATAATCCTTGTCAAGCTAGTTCAAACTTTTGGACGTGTTGCATGCCAAGAATTTCGGTCAGCTCAGGGTGTTTTACTTTTTGTCACTCATCCATCCTGAATCATTTGGGCTTACGGCAACGTTACCCTCATTTTTCATAGCTGATAGTATTCAGTTATGGTCTACTTTCAATGTCCTATGGATACGGTAATGACCGAATAAATCATAAATGAGGAAGTTACCCAGTCTAGTTCATAATCATAGATCATCTTTGTTGTGACGAGATAATTTGTTGGGAAGTATTACCTAGGTATTGTTTACTACTTAGGTGACATGATAGACGGCACAAACGTTCTTGTTTTGATATAAATCGGCATCCTTAGAACTGTCAATTCCCCCCGGTCACTGATCTGATTTCGTAAGAGCTGATTGACAGGTTGTATGAGTTGATCATGGTCTCGATGATAGATGGAACAAAGGTTGGCTCAGCTCCTGGTGGTGAAGGTTCTGAACAGAACCTCTGGTGGTTCAGGGCAGGTTGAGTACAGCACCTACCGGTCGGTAGTACCTGGCATATAAGTTGATCTTATGTGTCCATCATATGGGAACGAGTATAAGATATGTAAGATGGAGAAGAAGTCAGCTACCAGCGTATCAGTAACACTCGGTGATGACCTTTTTTCAATGTCAAGGACTTGGGAAAGAAGCTTCTTGGAATTCGAAAGTATTTACTTGCAGCCGTGCAACCTCCTGAGTCCATCCTCCAGACTTTCACTATGTCCCCACTTTGTAGATGACCCATCTACTCGTATCGAAACCATTTAGGCCACTGGGAGCCGCTGAACTTGTGTCTGGCCAAATCCAGAGCCGTTTGCTGATTGGTATTCCATGAAAGTGGCCCATACTATCCATTATCCACTCCTGTCCTGACCTATCTTCCTTCATCAGGATAGAGGTAGTGGTGCAGTAGTTGAGTAGACTTTTCTTTGATTTTCCCAAGTTCTAAGTTCTCAGGAAGGCAGTACCTTTCGACACGAGGTTACTGTTGTTTTTTTTAATGTAGGGAAAATTGAGAGCGAGGGTTCTGTTTGTAAGGTAAGGGTAAATAAGGTCATACGGTAACGAGTGGAGGAGTTGGGTAAAGGTATCTTTTACTGAGGTCGCAGTAGCATGGTAAAACATGACCTCTCCTTTATGGGCTCCTTCGACTTCTTCACTCGAGTGAACAAGCTTGAATGGTTCGACTGCAGATTCAGGATGATGGATAGACGTCGAGATCGTTGTTTTTGATGGATTAATCTACTCATACTCGATCTGGTCCAATTTTCTCATCGGATTTTCAGGTACGATCTTTCAAAGTGTGCCTGCACTTTCAAAGACAATTCCAGCACTCTTCGAGTGCTCATAGTGATTGCTAATTTGGGAAGTTCAATATTTTTTGACAAAATTTTAAACAAGAACAGGTACTGTCCTCAAGGTACATGAAGTTAGACAGATGTCCTATTAATTGACAATTGGAGCAACTACTTTCATCTGTCGAGTGAAAGGTGAGAAAAAGGAGAATATCTCTCAGTAACCTATAGATAAGTGGTAATGTTCTGAAGAGTTATCTGGTTGTAGACCGCTCTAGTTCTGGTGGAAAGTATCAACTTGTAAGGTTCTTGTTGGTGGCGGAGGTGGTATAGTGGCAACTGGCGCACTATTACACGCGCGTGGTCCCGGGTTCGAATCCCTGGTCGATACCGCCTGAGCCTACCAGGCCCTCCATCCCTGCGGGGTCGGGGAATCGGTACCGGGACTCGTTTGGGAGGCTAAAAGTACTGACTTGTAAATCGACAAGCCACCGCAAGGCATTGTATAGGTCACATACAAACTCAATACACCCCTGCTATTCTTAATGAAAGTTGAATGCTGGGGCGCAACCCTCAGACGAGGTCGACCGCTAAAGTAATCCAAGTGATTGAAGACAGCGATTCAAAAGTGACAGTGGATAGCCCTAATCATAGCTAATCCAGTAACGAAAGGGTAATATCCTTTTCTCTATCTATCCAGCTTCATTTCTGTAAAATCTGGGAATTTTCGAAAGACTTCGAGTATTCGGGTGGATACCTAGGGATGAAGTGATATCGTATATTTCCCACTTCCATATAAGACATGAGGATCTTCCTTTTCAGTTTATGGAAGCTCTCAAAACAAAACAAAGTGAAGCGAATCCAGCTCCAATGCCCTACTGTATTCTAGTGGGGATCAATTCATTTCTGCATGACTGAATATGGAGGAAAAGTGCATGGTGAATTAAAATAATTAGATTAATTATGACCACCGGGACAGCTGACCTTTCCTTTGTCCGACCTGGGAATTCGAAAAATTTCCTCCGTGGTAGTGAAGTTTCCTTCCTGATAGCGATCTGAGAATGGCATCGAGGCTTGGCGTAACAGCTATCAATGTTCTCTGTCCTTGTACTCGGCAGTTTTCAGTCGAGGCACGTTTTCTCCGTCTCCTCCTTCGTCTCCCTGATTGCCCCTGTTTTGTCGCTGAAAAATATCCCTCGTAGAATCGTTCCGTCGGTGTATGCGAGCGATTGATAGGCTGTCACCTTAATATAGTAGTCATGTGCATGTGTTTGGGAGAATTATGGTCAAACACAGCGTTGACTTCCCATGGGGATACGCCCTTGATAAAGAGATCTATCACGAACGGTATGTTACTGGATCTGTTCTGGGTGTCGATGACACCACCATGTGACTGCTGTGACATACACACACCCGACGACGCGCCGAGCTTGGGGTGTCGAGTACGAGTGGGCGGAGTCCTATGGGAAGTATATAGTGGCGTGCTTTGTAACATACCTACCGTTTATGGGAAGAACGAGTTGTGCTGCATCCCATAGGAGTTGTGGACTGCCATCAACACAACTCGACCATTCCCATATGTCATTTGATTCGGTTTAATTTTGAACCCATTGCTGTTCATGTTCCATTCCTCGAAGGTCCCCTGGTGAATCGCTTTGTTTACTTCCATGGTCAGAAGGTCCTGTGGTTGACATTGCGGTTTTCTAGTGTTCTTCCGGTTTTCTGGTGATATTCGTTCAACGTTGAGGTTTTTCTCAATTGGTTCGTATTCATACGTCGCAAATGGAATAGTGGGACAGAAATCGCTATCGCCCTTATCACTTCTGAGCGATTCCCATCTAAAAAAAGAAATTCTCCATTCCTATGTGCGCGGTTGATTTATTGGTGTTGAGTGTTTTTTTTTCTCTGGAACATCAGGCTTAAGAGGTTTCTATCTTCCTCTGTGTCTCAGCTGATCAAGTTTTATGTTTCCTTGTCCTTTTTGGCTTCGGACGCATGGAATTTTCCAGCATGATAAATGTTTTTCTGAAATTTGATTTTATTCTGCTTTGTAAGCCTCACCTGTAGGGTTCAACCTCACCTGCAGGGTTCAAGTCAGACTGGGAATAAGCTTTACTTGGGAAGTTTTTCGCTCCCCTCTTATTCCTCCTGGATACTCTTTCGGTCTATTCAGACAAAAAGCAGAAGACCAGCTCCTAGCTCAAGGGGCATAGGCATCGAGAACCAAGCAGGGGTAGTATTCGAATGCAACACACCGCTACCCCTCTGAGGAAAATTCGAGTTTACCTTTTTTGACCCTAACTTTTTCCGTAGGGCACCCAATGTCCATCATCCTTATTCATGTCGACCGGCCTGCTGCAGTCATTCTTCCGTCTGAAGTCAAACACGAATCCTTCAATTTTTATTTTTGCCAAGGATTTTGCCAGAATCATCACTTCTCAGTTGACCAGACATTTCTTTACTCAAATTCGATATTTTTTCTCAATTGTATGGTTTCTGTGATGTGATCGTTCCGTTTTCCATTCTGATTTGTGTCTTCATCCCAGTAACTCTTCAAATTCCAGGTTATGAAGCTCGCTGTCTCACTTACGAACATGCTTGGTGAATTCGTTGCTATCCAGAAAAGCCCTGAATTCAAGCCGTGTTCTGCTTCGATGCAAGAATTGGACAGGGCCATCAAAGAGGAGAAAAAGGAGTACACATTGAAGGTTTGTGAAATTCCATACATTCATAGTGTTGTCCGAGACAGTTTTTATCGCGCAATCCACAGAGTCATCTATCACTTTCTCTTTCTTTTTCTCTCCTTAGCAATGAGAGATAAATGCCAGACATTCGTGTTCGCAGCGGCCTACCGTGACGTTAATAGGCGTGTGATGAATTTTTGGGTAAATAGTTACCATGTAGTAACTCGGGAGTGTTCTACAGAAATAGAAGCCTTGGAAATCAACAAAGGGACTAAAAATGGAAAAGGATGAAACCGTCGGTAAGGTACCGCTGTCACATGGCATCAGTCTGGTGGAGCTCGTAAATCATCCATTTGGCGTTGTCTGGTCTTTGTCATGTGAGAGTACATTTCAGTACTCCTAGGCAAACTCAATCCCAAAACCAGTTCTAAGTGACCGTCATTAGACATTGAGCTACCTTTTCCTTTGAACCGGTCCTCCAGTCGATCAGAAATTACTCAAACTCGGGATTAACTCTTATTTCCCGTCAAATTTGAGGGGGAAGTACGTAGGATATGAATGAGCTGGCTCCTGTAATGAATTATTGCCCATTAATATAGTACTCCAGACTCTACAGTTGCTAGCGGGCTTTTTTCCGGGAGTGGAGATGAATTAAGCCGGTAAAGAAGCTCTGGAATGGCTTTGGAGAAGGGAAGAGAGCGGTCAGAATGAATAAAAAAGTCAGAGATTGAGAGCGGAATACTCGAACGAAGAACCTTTGAGTGTGGGATACGGTAGGGATACTGTAGTAGGTGGGAAGTACGCCTACAGTTTTTCTGTCGGGAGAAAATCTAGACAATCCCTTCCTTGAGTTGAAAAGCCGCTTGCGGACGCTGAACCCTGAATTCTATGGGAAAAATCTCAATTTTCATAAACTCCAGTTCTATTTTCTTTAAAGAGCATATGATCTTGTTGAGCTTTAATTTTTCAGCATCCCTCCTTTATCCGTCCCCGTCCACGATTCCATTCAGTAGGATGTGTGCCTCAGGAGGTTAGCTCAAGCCCATGTGGACGTGTAACGATGCGGCCAACTAGTGAAAAACGAAGAGACCGACCTTCAAGCCTTGTGGAGCGATTTGTACAAAGAATCAGTCCATCCAGACCGACTGAGGTCAGTTTTTTTTCCGCATTCCTAAGATTCCTTCGGGGTATGATCTCTCCGTTTGGCGAATTTTGCCTATTTTGATCAGTTGTCCCATGATTGATACGATTTATAGGCGATCACCGAAGAAGAAGAAACTGAAACACGGAAGCATTCCACGCAATCCGAAAAGCTCTACATCACTATTGTCTAATCCGCCATTCGATCCATCTTACGATCGACTCGGACTGTGGACGAGTTTTCTTCCAATCAAAAAGACTTCATAAGGTTGTCAGTGGGGAGCGCAGTGGCTATGGTCACTTGAATAGACCGGGAATGGAATTTGTCGTTGAGTTTGTCAAGGATGAAGCCTTTGGGGTTAATCCTTTATATGGTACAAGTTCGAATATTACTTTTATTGTACTTGTTACTACTTCCCAAGTGGTGCCTATGTAAAGGCTTATGGGAGGCCTATAAAGAGTGGCTAGATTGATCAATTTCCCATATTCACGAAAAAATCGGTATCGATTATTTAGTCCAAGTGTTGGCATAGGTAGTTTATCATTTCAGCCATCCTTTCGCCCTTTCCTTTACTTCGTTCGTCAGCAATGGTGGCTGTTTTATTACATTTTATGTTGTTATCTTTGTATATTTATGTATGTTTTTAATTTGTGTACATAGGGACTGTATTGATTGTTCTCAGGAAGTGTTTCGTTGGATAATTGCCTTGTTTGGATCTCGAATGAAAATCTTTGAAGATCGCTGTATTGAGTGACCACGATGAGTTGTGAAGAAGCATTAAAAATATCTAATTTCATTTCCTAAATTACTTTCTGCTTGGTGGAATCGACAGCATTTCGGTGCGGGGAATCCTCCTCGGGAGAAAATCAATAAATCCCCCAAGTGCCTTTTTGGGTAACTTCCTGCTCGATCATTTTTCGTCTTTTTAATCCTGAGGGCTGAGAAAAATCCGCTGGCAAGAAAAATCGATGAATATTGGTGAACTCAGTATGGATAGTCAGGATTTATAGGTTGTTGTAATTCCCAATAATTAGTTGTAATAAATGATTAATCTCAATAATTAATTGGTCGCGATAGTGTGTAAACAATAATAATATGAAATAATGATATAATAAATCATAGTTAATAATAACCTAATAAATAATAGCATATTAATAAATGTCAATAATATCTTGAATGAATAATAACATACTAAGTGGTGATCATAAATGATAGTATGATAATATAACTACTAACCTAAGTACTATAAATATCAATAATTATTTCGAAATATTTTTATTACTTATTGTAATCAATAATTTATCCTGGGTGATTCTAATAATAATTGGATGAAGTACAAAAGCTCTAAGTTCCGATCTTTGCTAACGATCCAGTAGAAAGAGTGCTATCACTAATAATCAGGTCGATACCCCCCCCCCCCCCCCCCCTTCTCACCGGCTGACAGATATGGATGAACTGGCGCCGTATGGTCTTATCAGTGCAACTGACCAGAGCATCGAGTAATTACGTCGCAACTGGGGGAAACCGCCACAATTAGCCCGTACCTTGGTCTAGGGGTATTTGTAGAAATCTTTTTCTAGACCTAGTAAGAGATAACAAGTACAGAGTTTCGTTTTGCATCTCCACTTCCATGCCATTTTCCTATGCCGATGAAATTTGTGTTGTTTTCCCATATATTTTCACATTTTCGTATTAACTGGCATATTTAATTTGACACTGCAATAAAATGATGGATGAAATCCTCATTTAATCTTTAATCTCGTTTTTTTGGGTTGCCCACCCGCATTGAACTCCCGTTTGAAAGCGCATGTAGCCTACAGGACTTGGGGTGTCCACCCGATGTACAAGTCAGTGTTTTCATCCTTACAGGCCAGTCTGGCACCGATTAACCGACCCCGGAGAGATGGAAGACTTCATTGGCCTGGGCGAGTATCGATCCGGGTACAACGATTTCTCGGCAGTCGATAACCAACCGATAGTTGTTTACCATGTTTTGTGAAATGTACTATTCCCATGCTATTTCCATAAAGCCTCCAAAACAACAAAGCTATAAAAATATTCCGGGGTAGCGTAGCGTTGTAGTTGTCATCATTGTTGCTGCTCTCATCGTTCGCTACAGCTTCAATAAAGCCTACTGGAACGACTGTCGACTGACGTTTACATATACATCACTATACCATATCACATTATAATACATATCACCTGAACCTCCTGGGCAGATCGACGTCCGCCCATGCCGACCAAGCCTTCCATCCTTTCGAGGTCTGGGAGGATGAAAGCAATGACTTGGACATCGGCAGGCCAACGCAAGTCATTATATGGGCCATCACGCATTCATTATTCAGCCACTACGATTCTGGATGAAAGTCGAATGCATGGGTGCTCCAACCTTTATTACCTGAACCACCCGGGACACATCGACTGGGTCAGCTGTAGTGGGATTATGTTGGGCCGTGCACGTTGAAACGCAGCCCCATGCCCCTGCACCACCACTGCCAATCACTCATAGAGTTATTATTTATTGTTTTTGTATTTAACTTTGTTAGCACATTAATTGCAACAAATTTAGTCTCAATGCACTTATAACATCATAGTTACTCTGGTCATTTCACAGTTCAATAAGTTGAAAGGCAAGGTTCACGATAAAAATGGTTCGGAGATTTGTATATGGTTTGAATTCACAGCCCTCTCTGATATCATAGGTGCCGGAATGAGGTCCAAAAACATTCTGAGTAGGGCACATAAGGGGCCTGAGAGTGAAACACGGTCAGCCTCCGCCCCTCGCTAGGCTGACTACGAAAAATAATTGTTCTTCACCACTTTCGCAATGGAGCAACATTAGTGAAAATTCAATATGCTAATCGACCGCCTTCTACTGGTAATGGTATTCGGCTGTATTCCTACTATCCGACTAATATTCTACTCTATTCTATTCTAATTAATTATTCTCAACCGTCGTCGAGAGGTCGAAAATTGATTTTGCAGAATAACTTAGCTTAATATCAGCAGTAGAATAAATAGCATTAACAAAAAAGCCAAAATCAGTTGTTTGGGTGGGTTGTGTGCAAATGCAGACGTTACGCCGTATTTGTCTACTCGCCGAAAAGTGTGTGTGTCAAGTCGTGCATCCGAGGGTGCGCGCGGCAAATTGCGCGGCGAAGTTCGTGGCGGATTTGGATGACTGCGGCGTTTATCATTGGGGCCCAAATCTGAAGTAGGGTAGATTAGTAAGGTCATCTGATCCTACTGTTCTACTGTACTTCAAAAATTGGGCTGAAATAATAGGCGCTAAAGCCGCCAGAATAGATATGAACTTTGTCGCGCCATTTGTCGCGCGCGCCCTCGGACGCACGACTTGACCGTCCCCCCGCCGAAAATGCCCTTAACCGCCGTTTTTTCGCTGTGAAACTCGTCCAACCCCCTTTTCTCCTCTTTTTTGGAGCTTTGTATTTATTTTTATTCGTCGTTTTTCGCCTTTTCTGCCTTACCATTGTACTGCTGTAGGTCGTACCTATCATTTTTCGTCACAAACCGGATACCCCAAAATTATCGTGAACTGAGCCTTTAATGAATAATTTCAATTTTCTCGAGTTTTGAAACCATTTCTATCGGATTTATACAAATAGCTTATTTCCTCTTTGCAACAGGTCTTATCCATCACTGACAGGACAGGCATTGGGATTCACACTTAAAAATTTGACTGATTATCGAGGAGAATGACTTTTTGGTAGACTCGGCTAAAACTGTTACACTTTATGTTGTAATGAGGCACGGGAAGGATTCGGTTTTCCCTAAGCCATTGAATATTTACATAATATTTACTTTTTTAGCTACTTTATGGCCATGAACACACAACATCAATAGACAGCTGTGATTGATTATGACTATTTATAGAAATCATTTTTGGGTAAATAACGTAGAATAGATGGTGATTGTTTTTCATCATAAGGCTTTAACGGAGTGATCAAAGTACTGCCGAAAATGGAGTAATAAACTAGCTTAAATTCCAACTTTGTCCCGACATCACACCATTTATTTCGCCATAACAACTAATGTCGAAGATCAAAGGTTGATAATGATATTAATGTCTTAGCAAATCAAAGTGTTTACTGATTCACTCTTGTACTACATGAGCTGTTGGTTAGGTATTGTAACCGTGAACTCTAAAAAGCATTTTCCGGAAAAGTTATAAAAGTAGCAGAAATTTAATATAACAATAGGAATCGAATAATTTTCAAATCATATTTTGCCATAGAGTGGAGGTAGTGTAGTGGCAAGTGCGCAATGTCACCCACGCATAGTAACTAGTTCGAATCCGGGATCGATACCGCCTAGGCTTACCAGGCCCTCCATCCCTTCGGGGTCGGGAAAACGGTATCAGACTCATCTGGGAAGTCAGAAGCACCAGCCCGTACATCAGCTTGCCACCACAAGCCACTGTATAGGACAAACACGTCTTCAATACGCCTCAATGATTCTGAATGGCAGTCTAATGCAGGGCGCATCTTTCAGACGGGATTGATTACCGCCTAAAAACTTTCTTAGGTTTTTATCTCTTCCATGAACAATCAACAAACATGATTTTCATCGGAGAAATGTCATTTTCAAGGGATTATTGTAGTCTCAAAGGGAACTTGGCATAAGAACTTGTTCGACGACTTTGGATCTAACTTCATTCCTTTTTCTTGTAACTTTTGCAAATCTGCAACAGGGTGTTAGACGTGTCGACGCCGAATTTCCTTTAGTTACAAAAAAGTAATGCGAATCTCGTCCCGTTCCAGAAACTTTCTAGGAAACCTGGAAAAAGCTGATGAGATGGAAATGAGCAAAAGTGGAAAGTATTACATTCTTATTCTCTGATTTTAGGTTATTCTCGGAACAAGTTATTGCTCAACCCAAGTTTTTTTCGGTTGATAGTTTTCGATGATTAAATTTTTCGGTCGAGTATGAGTATTTGTTATCAAAATAGTCAAATACCGAGGGTAACGCACCGCCCATGACATCCTTCACAGCTTGCCGCTGTCATTATGTTGTTATGCCTAGTATGGCTAGGCACTCCTACAAGAGTTCGGGAAGGTCCCTGT